CCAGAAAGCAGATGTGAACCAGTTATTGTTTGATGTTTAATTAAATTAATACTGTACAGTTTGGTCCAAGAGTCCAAGACCACATTAAAATGGGATGTTTTACATTTATATCTAGAAATAAACTAGTTAGAGGATTTTGAAATACTAAATAATTGAGATTTCTAGGTCACTGAAATGCAAATCTGTGAGTTTGACAATGCACTCTTTTGATCATCAACTGTTGTCATTAAAGTATAGACATTCTGAAATTCATAATCTGTCAAGGTGTTTATAATATGCGATGCCAAAAAAACTGCATTCAATTTCAAATCATTCAATCCAAAATGAAAGGATTTTCATTAGTTGGTCCTGTCTGAATGCAGGGCCTGTTTGTTTGGACGTTCATGTTGTATTTCAGGTTCCTGTTTCCTGTATCTAGTTTTGTAGTACCTTTGTAGTCCTTTTGTTTCATTGGTTCCCCACAACATTGATTGTATCCAGGTGTGTCTTGTTACCTTGCTATCTTGTTAGCTTGTCTGTATAGTCACTGTGTTTCACTTGTTGTTTGTCTGGTCTTGTCTTTCTAAAGTTATGTCGGTGTTCTCAGTTCTGTTTGCATGTTATTTGTATTCTGATACTTTATTAAATCCTCTGCATTTGGTTCTACCTCTCCCTTGTTTCTGAGTTAATCTGCATGACAATAATATATATATATATATATATATATATAATTTGAGATTTATGCCAGCCTATATGGTCCTTACAATCTAGCAGAAAGAAAATCGTATGTATTTTATCCTTATATTTCTCCGTCAGTATGTTTGCATCTTCTTTTTCTGAATTCTGTTTCATATATATTTTGTTATTATCATTAATGCTGTATTTGTGACTTACTATGCTGTGATGCCACTACTGCCTTTGGCCATCACTATCTCATTATAATGTTGTTTGTTTGTTTCTCACCACCGCATAAATTAGAGGAAATTTAAAAACACAAACTGGTCATGACCCATAAAGAAATGCTCCTGGGTGTGGTATACAGCTCCCATGAGGACATCTCCAGTTTAATAAAGTTAAATGGGTGGGGTCTCTAGAACTCTATGCAGTTAGGAGACTGTAGCACAATCTGATCCCATACCTTCCCCAAACTGTCACCTTTATATCTGTTCAGACACTCAATTCTGAATGGAATTGTTGCCATGGAGATCCGTTCCATCATTATAGTAACCATAGAAACAGCCTCCAAAGATCAAATAAAAAGAGAGGGTGCTGAGAAAGAAATGTATATATTTTTCTCTAGACAGAATTAAGCTGAACTCTTGAACCTTACGCACCAACACACACACACACACACACACACACACACTCGCTCTCTTTCTTTGATGTTAGATTAAAGAGGATTTTGAAGATGGAACAGCCGAACTAGTAACTTCATCCAAGATGTCACATGCTAGCATAAAAACAAAGAGTGAAGACAAGCAATGCAAGAGTATTACACCCGCCTTCAACGTGACCTTCCGTTAACCTCCTCGAAGTGCTGAAGACAGTAACATCATTAGCCAACGCATTCTCACCCCAAGGCGTCACTAAAATGACAATTTTGACCATGCTTCTATATTCGACGCTTTAGGCACCCTTTAGCGTCAGTTACATGACGCGATCCTAGGGCGTCATCTTACTGACGCTTTACCTAAGCGTCAGTTAGATGACGCGGGTAGGTTTAGGTCTGGGGTAGGGTTAGGATTAGATAGCGTCATCTAACTGACGTTAAAGGTAAAGCGTCAGCAAGATGACGCCCTAGGATCGCGTCATGTAACTGACGCTAAAGGGTGCCTAAAGCGTCGAATATTGAAGCATGGTCAAAATGATTCCCAAGGCGTCAGTTTCATGACGCCTAGGGATGAGAATGGGCTGCATTAGCATGAACAGCAGACACTGCTGGAGAGAGAGCGATTTCAGAGCAAGATGTCTGTATTAGTAAATCTCTCAGTGAATTACTAATCATGATTATTACCGCCATCAAATAGGCAGATGAGCAAAGAGAAGTGTGTCGAATCTGAACCTTCACACACACAGTCACGCTTGCCTAGATTGTTGACTGGGTTGTCTGCTTGTCAAAGCTAATATAGATGAAATGTGTGTCTGTGGCGTCTAATCCAGTCTTAACTACTGCATATCTATCTATCTATCTATCTATCTATCTATCTATCTATCTATCTATCTATCTATCTATCTATCTATCTATCTATCTATCTATCTAATTATCCATCCATCCATCCATCCATCCATCCATCTATCTATCTATTTTTTTTTTCAGTAAAACTAGATTTTGTTTTGTACACCAATACTTATTTTTGGCTGCTGACATAGACAGTAAACAGAATATCCTGAAATAAATGTTTCTGATTAAAGCATATCATCCAAAATCATTTCAACAACAGACTCACAGACACAGAAACACTGACAACATTCACATTCTTAAGAAAGAAAAGTTTATTTATTTTGTGATTTATAAACAAAACACATGACCACTTTTCCATCATAATGAAAAAAAATATATAAAGAGAAAATAAGAAAGGAATGAAAGTCACTAATTCACCATCACATTGATGAGCAGGTGTACAAAAGAAGAGGGTTTAACAACAGATGATCGCCATTCAGTTGGACAGCACAGCGCCACCTACTGATCACCACCAGACATTGAGAAAGAATGACAGCATGAACGCTCACTAGATACAAGCAACACTACATATATTGTATTTTACATCAGGATGTTTTTTCCTGTTTTTTTTTTTTTTATTTCTTTGTCAAAGAAGTGAAAGAGTAGGGATAGAATCATCATACATAATTTAGCTACAATATACAGTGCTAGTTTGATCAGTATGTCAAACACAAAAGTTTTTTTTTTTTTTTTGTTATCATAAACCAAAATCATAAAGAATAGGGGGGGGGAAAACGAGAGCTTCAGGGCATCACACGATAGAGCATTTACAAATACCAAGGTTTAGTAACGTCATAACTGTCCACTGTAAGTCGGTGAAGAGGTGTCAGTATGCAAAAGGCTCAGAGACGGTACATACACAAATCTCTTGTGTGAATAATGAATAAAAACTATAAAGAAAAATAGTAAAATCATAGCCATCTATATCTATATTCATATATATCTCTATATAGTAAGTGTTTTCTTTCTGGTAAGGTCATGCAGCAGTCACGTTTGAGTAATTGTGACATCGGTTCGAGACGTGTTTTTGGGTGCGTGGCATCAAGGTAGGCAGGCAAGTGAAGGAACCAATAGCATCAGAGCACAGACGTGATCAGACACTAAAGCAGGGTTTAAAAGGCATGGGGTGGAGACAACAGTCTGAACTTTGTTGCAAACACTTTCAATTGGTAAAGGTATTGTGTGTAATATTTTAATGTTTAAATACTTGTATCCAAGTTTAAAGTGTAAACACTGGATCTGTCTGGTAAATCATTGCTTTGTTTGTTTGAGCATCACAATCAGCCTGACACAGCAACACATCGGCTCATAACCAATAGTTTGTTCAATTTAAGGCAGACAGGGGGAAATTCTGTTTGGTGCTGCTAGTGGCACAGATTGATCTTTAACATTGGTTCAAATGGACAAAAAGCCCAGATTTTCGCCCCACAGTTTTCTCTACAAATCTCCACCCCTTGCCTAAGCCGTTCTCCCTTCCCTTCTCTTTCTGAGAATGAACCGATGAGAGACCAGCTGAAAATACAATGTCTTATACAGAGACAGAGCTGAGGTTGATTGGACAGCACTGGATCATTTGCATACGACAGTGCTGTGGGAGGGGCTTCTGTCTTCTGGGGGGAGGGGATTTGACAGGCGTTGTCTGCATTACTCCATACTACATGAGTACACCACAATGTCTAGAGCTAGCCTACCCAGCAGAGAGATCAAGAGAGAGACAAACAGACAGACAGTAGCTCTGTACAGTAGCAATAAAATTCACTTAAAGCTTATAAAAATGGTGCACAAGAAAACCCCTGCCCTTCTTTGCCCAAATTTGAAAACTCCTAGCTAATATGTTGTGTTCTTTGCTCTTGGGTAGTGTTGGTCCTCCAGACAGCAAGCAGAAAGGAGGCGTGTTGTATGACACTAGGCATACTAAGCTCAGCTGAGAAAGCAGGCACAAAATTAGGGTTGGGATAGAAGGGTCAAGGTTAACGGGTAAACTACAGGTATGAGGCAATGCCACCGAAAAATTCACGGCATAACACTCATGCCTTTTCTACAGAGGATATTTAAGGATAGATTATGGGATCAAAGGTGTTTAAGGTTTGGTGAATCAACAGTAATACTGTTCACAATGCATAAACATTCTCAGCCATCCCGATAAGCGACAGGGCGCATAACCAGGTCCCCGAAGATCTGATTTCTCATGAGTGATATTGACTTGTGAGCTTTGCATCTTTAAAATTCACTAAGAGTGAACCTCTCCAGCTGCTGGTCAACCTCTGACAAAAACCCAACCAGGTTACCAGGTTAGACACGTTTCAGAGCAGGAGAGGTTTTGGGAGCTGCTGGAGATGCACTGATTTTTGACCCTGTTTACTAGATGTGTGTGTCTATATATGTGCAGGTCTGTGTTTATATGGGACTATTTGCTCACATATATACTATGCCTCGGAGAACATTTGCTGGTAACAAAATTAAAGCAACAAAACAAAAGTGCATTCCATCATTCGGTATACATTTTTTTTGTCTTTTTTTTTAGTTTGTTTGTTGATAAAACACAGTTTTTTTTTTGTTTTTTTTTGTTTTGTCCAGGATGTGAGACTTTGTGAAAATATGTTTTGATGTCTCTTGTTTTACGGATGTTTCGTACATCCCACACCAGGAGAAGTGAACGAGCAAAAGCGTTAATTTAGCGTCTTCGCTGTTTTACATACAGCGGTGCCCAACCTGCGTATTTACACCAGCGTGTGTCTTGCTTCTATAATCTCTAACTTTACACAATTTTGAATCCCTCCTTTATTTTTTCCCCCCTCCATTTTACTACAATAGCACACCTGAAGCGGCACACGGCTTACAAACTTTTCAAATCAGATTTTGTCTCCCTATCAAAAAGATTGGAAAACAAAAACCAAGAGGATTAATAAGACAGTTGTACCAACATGAGTCTGAAGGACATTTAATGCTGAATATTGGCTTGGGTGAATATTAATCAATCATATAACAGCTCATCAAGACGAGATTAATCAATTGAAAAGAAAGGGGAATGCCAGCTATTAGTGTAAAGCCAAACGAGATTGGATAATGATAGAAAATTACTCCAACATTTTCAAGTAGAGTGTTCAATGTTTGCTTGAGCCCCAAAAATGGATTTTAGGATTAATAAATACACGTTTTGTTCTTCAGACTTTTGTTGAGACTTCTGTCTTTAAAAAAAATCAGCTCTTTCTTTAGCTCCTTCCTCTGTCTCTCTAATCATCATCATCATCTTTCCCTTTCTCACGCTTATCCTTCTTCTCCTTCTTCTTTTTCTTCTTCTTCTTCTCTTCCTTTTTTCCAAACGTAATAAAGTCGCTCTTGTCATCTCCGTCTTGTCCTTGTCTGATGGAAATAATAGCCGGCGATCCAGGGATGATGAAGGCTTCAGGAGGCATCTCACCGGGTTTCAGGTGCGGAGGGCCTCCGGGACCCGGCCCGTATCTGAAATGCCAACTGTTGCTGTCCACTCCGGCTCCTACGGGTGGAGAGACCTCTCCACCCTCATTGTCTATGAAACAAAGACAAAAAGAGACCATCTATTACAATCTTCAAAAATATAACAATGAAAGGGTTAGGAAGGACCACGCTGTGTTTCAGATGTGAGGAATGTCCCCTGGACCCTGAAATAAGACACTTCCCTCTTAGAAATAAAAGGTCAGATTGGGTTCTATATCGAACGCTATGGTTCTTGACTCAATCTTAAGAACCTTTTTATGCCAAAAAGGTACTATATAAAGAGAAATGTCTTGAATGACTGTATAATACTTTCATGTTTAATAGGTTATTTACATTTTTCTAGAGATAAAGTATGTTTATGTGAGGTTGAATTTACAAAATAAAAAAATAATTAAAACAAAAATTTATTAAAACTAAATCGATAAAATGATCCCATGATAGGAACCCCTAAAAGGTTCTATTTCTGGCGGAACCCTTTATAGAACCGTGTTTGAACACACAGTGAATCAGCAATATTAAGCCTGAGAGAAGGAAAACTTTGCAGTCATGCAAAAAATAACCAACTGAACCAGTTCATTTTCAACGAAACAAACACTCTCATAGACACACCATTCAATCCAATACACATGCTATCCACGAGAATGAACAAACAGAAGCATGCACTTATGATGTTTATCCCTCTCCTTTTTAACCCCTTCGCTGTCACCCCCCTTTTTGAGAATGGGGGTTAAAACGCACTATTCAAACTTAAATGGTTGTAATTCAAGAATGCTTTGGAATATAGACCTAAGTTTCGTCTTGTTTTAAAGGAAACACTCAGCAGATTATTGCTGAAGTGAAAACACTTCAAAAAATGAAAGTATGAAAAAGTTATGGAAGTTTAAATTTACAGTAAATCAAATATACTGTACTATATATTTTTTATTTTATAAAAAATATATATTTTACAAAATATTTTTTACTCTAAAATTACTATAAAATCAAAGCTATATATCTAACCAAGTAGTGTTCCAAATTTGAAGTTGATATCACAAAAATTGAAGTTCCCATGAGATTTTGTTTAGGCGTAGTACCAAAAATAGCCACCGGGTGACATACATTACATTGAATTTAGTTGTTTACATTCTGCCTTAACAAATTACTACATTTCTGTCCAAATATCAATTCTGTCACAAAACTTGGAACCTTGAGACTTAGACCTTTCTGACAATATGTGTTTTGTCAAGATTAGAAAAGGTTTTGATCATAAATGATGAAATATAATGATGCCCAAAAGGGGAGGAGCCTGATAAAATAATTTAGAGTACCGTTTCTATGGTAACGCAACGTTCAATTTCAAAATGGTTTTCACAGGATGAATTCTGAGTTTGTAAGCTTTCAAATGATACCCAATTTATGATAACTATATATTGTACTTTTTAGAGGATAATATTATTTTATAATTTTTTATTGAAAAATACTAGATTTTTATGTTTTATTATGAACTTTTAGCATGAAAACCAAAGTTTCAATTATTAAAGGTGTGTGCGTCAACTTTTTGTGACAAAGGTCAGAACTCCTGTTATGATGCAGATTTTTTTGAGGTGCACTCTTGTCAAAAATTCATCGGTTACTCTTCCTACATAATTTGTAGCAAAAAACAGCAGTCAAATATCTATTTAGGAGTCTTAGACCTTTACAACCATATATAGTTTGTCATAATTAGATTAGGATTTAGTAATATAGCAAAGTAAAGTTAGGCGTCCCGTATACGGGACGGTGTCTTGTTTTCTTCTATTCTTTTTGGTGGAGAAGAGTGCATTTTGCAGTGTCTTTAATAAAACACTCTTAAACAAATATATTTTCTGTCTTTTAAAATGCTCCATAAATCTGCCACTGAAAGCATGTGGACGAAACAACCTATAAGAGCTTCTTTTGATTTATTTCAAGAGAACATTTATTAAAGGGGTCATATAATGGTACATGCACTTTTACAAGTTGATTGTACTGAAATGTGTGTTGGCAGTGCCTGTGCACAACCATCATATAATGATAAAAATCCATCCAGTGTTTTTGTTTTAATCTCCTTATATGTTTTCCCCTGCCTCAAATTGAGCCGTTCGTTTTTGTGACGTCAATAAAACGGACGCCCCTCCCGTGATTGTTGATTGACAGCAGTCATTCAACACAGACCCGCCCTCGCTCGTGAGCGAGCTGTCAATCATAGTCTGCGCGGACCGGCGCGGTCATTGTTGATATGCTGGAGCACTGTCTGTCTATGAGCAGAATGGCGTCTAAGCGATTGTGGTGTTCTGTTCTTGGGTGTAATAACGAACAGTCATTTTAATGTTCCTAAATCTGAACCGCTGAAGACGCAGTGGCTGAGTTTGTTTTCGAAGGGAATATTCCCCACGAGCAACGTCAATGCTCTCATGTTTGCCGAATCATTTCTCAGTGGACTGCTTTATAAACGAGGATCAGTGTAAAGCTGGTTTTGCTGAGAAGCTGCACCTGAATAAAGGATCGGAACCTATTCGTCTTCCTGCTGAACCTTCAGAAGAACTAAAGTGAGTGTAACGTTTTATTAATCTTTATATTAATATTTATATTAATCTTTGCAAATCGCCAGCTGCACGCTTCACGATGGTTTACACTCGGTTTACACTCAGGGTACATTACGGCATGTTTTCTATGTACAACGTTCTCAATATAATTCATAATCCCACGTTTATAATGAACAACGCGTTATGGTATTGTGTTATTGTGTTACAAACGGTGTACGCACAGAACAGAGAGGCGGGGTGAGCAAAGCTCATTATCATTTAAAGTCATATGCACTGAAACGGCGTGCTGAAAACAGAGCTGTTTTTGACCAGGTAAAATAAGTGTTTTCTTACAATACTAATGAGAATTTTTAATTAAAGTATATTACAAATTTTTAATTTAGACCCTAAAGAATCATATTAGCTTGTACAAAAATGGCATTATATGACCCCTTTAAGAAATGTATGAGGATTCAGGATTCAGTCAGTCCATTCAATAGATAAGACGCTAATTTCCATATTTGACTTTGTATTCAAAATTGTGATATATTAGGGTGCTTTCACACTGGCAGTTTAGTTCGGAACAGGGCACGGTTCGCATGACAAATTGCTAATGTGAACGCTGTAATGCGGACCCGGGTGCGCACTGGGGTACCGGACGCGAGACTACCTGGAGAGGTGGTCTAAGTTCGGTTGCACTCGAACCGTGCCACGGTTCGCCTGAATGTGAAAGCAACACTGACTCGGGTGCGCACTTGTTCAGGAAGTAAACTAACCTGTGTGCATGCGTTTTTATGATGTATTTAGTTAAATAAAACACATATAAGGGATGATATTGATGATTTACCCTGGATGCGAGCAGAGGTGTAAAGTCCAAGGTTCAGAAAGTAAAAGTCCTGCCATATGTTTATTTCACCCATAACCTCAGCCAGCTGATTTCACTAAATAGTTCTATCTCCTGGCTGAAAAACGGTGCTAATTAGCAAATCCAGGTGATTGGAACAAAATACTGAGGAGGAATTTTACTTTCTGAACCTGGAGATACGAGCGAGAGTGAGCCTGCAGTGTATTCACACACAGCACAAAGGAATCAGCGCCGGGAACAATCGCGCTCCGGCTCGGACCGCAGCAAACGAGCCCAGTGTGAAAGCACCCTTATACTCAGAAGGAAAACAAAATGGACCACATTTACTATCTTACTGTAACATATGTTCACCAACCTTTTTTTCCCCCTTTTTGATTTACCCTCGGTTTGCATTTAAGTCTAGTCCCAGACTAAAATGCATGTTTGAGCTGTCTTAACTGAAAGCAACTTGCACTGACAAATCTTAAAATATATCAGTGTTGTTTGTTTTGTCTCAAGATACACACAAATAATGTTTTTTTTCAAAAGCACATTTAAAAAAGCTACTTTAATGTCCTAATTGAACTAAGGCCTAACCCTGGCTTAATCTAAACCCTGTCTGGGGAACCGGGCCATAATGTAATAATGTCAGCTTTAAATGTAAATTACTCTAAATTAGCTGGTCTAATGTATGAGGTCCCCTGTACGCCACACTGCTGAATATCTCTCTCTATCTGTCTGATGAGCAAGTCTTCTCATTTATACTGTCACCGGATCACCACAACATCGCTTAGTTTAATACAGACAACACCTTTGGCATTGTATCTGTGTGCAGGTCTTTGTCTGCACCTCACCTTTTGTCTATAGCTTATGTTGCGGTGAAGATTAAGACGGATTACAACCTTAGAAACATTGACTATGATATCTGTGAGTGAAAGAAGGTCTGTATTCACTATTGTGGGTGTGAATTAAGAGAGAGAGAGAGAGAGAGAGAGAGAGAGAGAGAGAGAGAGAGAGAGAGAGAGAGAGAGAGAGAGAGAGAGAGAGAGAGAGAGAGCATCCAGTATGAGTCCTCAGAGAACTGACTACCCTTCCAAATCCCTCAGTAACACTAAACGCCCAAATGGCTTTGTTTTCTCTCTTCTCCCTCTCGCATGTACTCTTTCATCATGTCTTCATTTCCTTTCTTCATGCCCTCCCATTTTGTTTATCTGCCTTTCTTTATACTGTCGGAATGATAACTAAGGCACAAAATTCACCAGCATTGGGGAGTTATCTAACTCAAAGTAGCAATTCTATTAAGTTATCTATATTTTCAGTAGCATGACAGTATCTCAGCTGGTTCAAGAACTGTGTGGGACATTGACGAGGTAGAGTTTGGGAAAGCTATTTGAAAAATTACTCATAATTTAAAGCATCCTTTAAAGGCTTTAAGTTATGAGTAGTTTGTGTCTTGGCAAAAAACAGTTTCAACTTTCCCAACCTATCTACATTGACAGCAACATCCTCTGCATTTCTGTCTCGCCTTGACCTTTCATGTAATGCAGCCTTTCGACAAAGACACACGTCTGGCTGGCAGATAATGGCACAGGTTTAATAAGCTGCATGACAAGGGCATGATTATTATGGCCAGTGAAATATCCAGCTCATAAAACGATGATGGGGAGAAAATCAAATCATCTCATC